TAATATTGTATCATGTAATGTCGTGTAATATCATGTAATATACTTTTACTATTATTATATCATTATTACCTTCGATTATATTCCACCATAATCAGTGTGCCAATAAACTGTATGCTGAATTATAAGAACTACATACTAATATTTAATGAACAGATTATTCAAGTGTTGAAGCAGCGTTTAAAATTAAAGCTCCTGAAGAGCAATTTTCCTCGTAAGTATAAAACGCCCTGCGATGACATCCACTGAAGTTGGACTTTAAAGCTTTTGCACTTTAAAGGTAAGTTCTTGGCATCCCGAGAAGAAACAACCTCTTATCTAGGTTCTTGGGTGACTAGAGGGTTGTGTCCATTTTGCGGTCGTCCATTTACCGGTCAAGGGTAAAATCGTCCATTTACCGGTCAACCCAAAAATCTGGAGGGGTGGGTCAAAAATAGTTTTCCATTTAGCGGTCACATATTTCTAAAATCCCGAGAACATGAGAGCCAGAGGTTGATGACTCAGAGCGTTAGCCAGGCCGATGACGCGTAGGTATGTTGAACACCAATGCACCAATAGTATGTGACCAAACTATGCAATAAACTTATTCAAATCATGAGTAGTACTGTAGGTATGTGTTTTTGAACATTTTTCTTAAAGAGAAATAAAATAAGTTTCAATCCTTTAAAATAATGATAAACGCACTTTGGCGTCAGAAGACGTGATGATTGTTGAACATCACACTTTTTACTCGACGTTTCTTTGGGCAAACAGATCAAATATAGTTCAATATGATATTTAAAAAAATCAAGAATTTAATTGTTGACAATAAATTGTTTTACCTTTTATGTTTGTAATTTAATTGTAACGGCTGTTGGTGTAAAAAAAGTTAGAGTGGCTTTGCATTTTTTCTTAACTTTGGCTATTTAAAATCCCTGCCTAGCACATAAATGACTTAAAACTAGTAAAAAAGGGTATTAACAAATCGAGAAAACTACGAAAAATTCAAATTTAATATGTATTTCACTGCCCGAATTAAAGGAAAATAACACATTTTATTGGTGTAGAGTACTATTCTAATAATCAGGGAACTAGTTTTTTTTTAAGATATAGCCTATAACAGAAGCATGACTATCAACAAGTGTCTCGTGTAGTTAGGAGATTAGGTGATGTAAAAATTGCTTTTAGTTGAAAATATGTCAATCTTGATGGTATGTTCCTTTGTTTATGTCATTTAGTTGATGGGAAAGTAAATAAAAGAAACGTCTTATAACACTTAAAAAATAACATCTTTTTAAAGTGTTATAAGACGTTTCTTTTATTTACTTTCCGCAAATTTAATAACACGTACAATGCTGATCAAGAAGTTATTTAGTTGATAACACGTAGCATGAAAACATCTTAAACATTGCTTACCATAAAGTATAGTTTTTAAATATACACAGGTAAATATAATAATCATTTTAAATATAATAATTAATGTTAAATTTACCAAAGTACGAGTACATATAAACTTGCAACTTCCTATAATCAATGGCTGAATTTGTTGTTAGCCAAAACGCGTTCTAAATTTGAATTGCTTATTGTATATCATACATTTTATAAGAGTGTGGAAATTTAATTTTTCTTAAATGAAGGCGATAAAATAAAAGATGCAAGCTGTAAAATTCGACAACTCTTAACTTTTAGACTACAAGGAGCAAACTAAAGAAAAAAGCGTAATTTAGTGGAAGAAAATAAATGTTGTAATGATGAAATTCCAATAAGATGCTTGGTGTCTTTGCAAGTATCGAAATTTCAGTAATTAAGGAAAGTTTCGTAACATTCTGCTTTCCTTTCGCTTCTAATAGTTCTTGAAGATTAATAATTAGAAATCCAGTAGATTTATTGTTTTCCGCATCGTGTGAACGATTACGGATTTCTAAACAATCTGATCGATTGATTGTGTTAATGAGATTATTCCATTGTAATAATTGTATTCACAACTTTTACTTAAAACGTTTTTTTTATAATAATGGTTATCCGTTTAGCAATGCAAAGTGATTATCATCTATTTACTTATTATAAGTTGGGGGAAACGTCTATCGAATTGTGAATAGATTTAGCGAAGTGCTAAACATTTGAGGAATGTCAAACTTAGTAAAGGAAGTATAAAAATAGACAAAAATCAGTGTTACATTAATTGGTCATTAACCTAATGAGTAGTGAAGGCTTTGTGAATTATAAACACAAACCAACAATGGATCACTTCTAAAAACCACCTATTGTATGCGATCATTAAAGTTGTTTTCACTCTCAATCTATCTTTTTAGGAATCAATTAAAACTATTTAGAATCGTTTTATTTCATACATTTTATAAACATATTGAGGTATGTGAACCATGGAACAGTTTGTTGAAATAGAGGATAACAGCCAAATAATTAATGAAACCACAGAACATCGAGTGTTACCATTACCATTGTATTTCATGTATAGGAACACCTTGCAATATCTAAATTATAAAACTGTAATTAAATCTAAGGATGGTGTCTGAGATTTTAATGTGGGTTTTGTAATTCAATAAGTGTGCTTTTAAAACATACCACAAAGATCTTATCTTAAATAGTGTTCTTCAAGTAGGCTAAATAGAAAGTCGAACTAGCTTTAGAAAGGCGTAAAATGAATTGCCGACAAATAAAGGACAAGTGGTAGCCACTTCTCTCTTTAAAGTGTCGATTGGACACTACATTTATTTCTGGTGACTAGATTGACTGCTAGCTACATGTCAAACTTAAGTATTTTATACTGGTTTTTAAGTAAGCACTGTTCAGCAAATCGAAAATTTGCTAAAGTAAATCATTTTACATACAAGAAATAACGTTAAAACGGAATTTATAATGTTGCTGTTGTGATACGTTTGTTACTTGTAAATCATTATCTTGTATGTAATCTATAAATTAGAGCTGTAATTGATTATTAAATTAAATTGTGTTGTTGCTTATTAAGGTATAATGGTTTTCAATAATCAAAGTTAAAAAAAATTATTGTAAAATATTTTAACCTACCTGGTAAAATATAGTAATATAAAGTATTTTTAAACGTTTTAAATTAAAACCCATTATTTATATCTTCATAATATTTAAACACTTCATAAATTTTAAGACAGGATAAAAAATTACAGTTTGTTTGACAATTTCTGGGTCGGTAGTCAGATAATTGGTTTAATGAATTTTCAGACGTTGTTGACAGTTTAATTTCTTTACGAACTTTATACAAATGAATTAATGTATAATTTATGAGCAAATCTCACATTTAAAATATTTTCCTACAGTTACCTAACAATGTACATGTTCTCTCACTGATTTGAGAAAGCAAAGTGGCCAATTCGTTCATCACACTCTAATTACTTTGTCTCACTCCAGATTTGCAACGTGAAGGCACGAAATAGTGAGCGCGTAACATGCAGGCAACGTCGTATGCGCGCGAAATACGTTGGCAGAACTGGCTGTAAATCAGCTGGTCAGCTGTTGAACTGTTGTATTTGTCACTTCACATTAAATGTTGTATTAAAAGTTCACTTCTGTGTAAAAATAGGTTATGTTTCTTCACCAATTTATTTGTTTTATGGTAACTGTAGGAAAAATGTGCAACTCGAGTTCAAAGTACAATTGCCTCACTCGAGAAACCATTCCTCACTCCCCTACGCTCGTGAGTAAGGATTTCTCTCGAGTGAGTCAATTGCTCACTTTTCTCACTAGTTGCACAAATAACTATTTTCTATCAAAATGGCATATTATTGAGTTTAATTGTCTATACAGGGTCTCTAGAAAATATATTTCCACTTCTTGGTGGAATTGTTAGATTTTTACAGAGCTGGAATATATAAAAAATCTGGTATTTGGTATGGTAAGAAGAACACTTTTTACGTGTTTCTTGATAATTTATTTTTTAAATTTGATTTCAAATCTTAAAATAATACTTAATTTCATCTGTCAGTATGCAATAGAACTGTTAATGTATCAACTCTAAAAATTAGGTATCTATCTAATACTCTTGTTAACCATTAGGTTAAATATTAGGTAACTAACTATTCATTAACTTGATTTCTGCATTTTTTTTAAATCATTTGACAACTGTTGTTTGTAAAGCCTATAGGTTTGTAAATAAAGATATTTTGAAATCTAACACGATTCGATAGTTATTTTACCTACAGCCACCCGACAAAGTGGGCTTCCTTGTACAAATTATAGTACAGAAAGCCTTACTTTGGCACACAGTTTTTACTCTGGCACACACTATTAGTCCTACAATACAACACAAACCATCGTGCTTTTATCATGCACGTAATCACAGCCACCTCTAATACATGTATTAGAGGTGGCTGTGACGTAATCCGTGTACGCTTGGATATCAGGTGGCAACACTTAAAGATATTACGACTACGATCAGCTGGTTAAGCGTTTCCCATAACGTTCAATGTTTGGATTTAACCTAACCTAAAAACGCGTTGTACATTGGTTGAAAGACTAATTATTTATATAATTTATAGTAAATGTACCATAAATACCGTAGGCGAGTGCGGAAAGTTTCTCGAGTGCGGCAAAGCACAGAAAACGTACTAGTAGTACGTTTTCTGTGGGCAAAGGCAGATTGCACTTGTGTTACACATTATATTTTTCCTACAGTTTCTATAAACTATATAATTAATAGTCTTTCAAACACTGTACACCATGTTTTTAGGTTATGTTAAATCCTAACATTGAACAACATGAGAAACGCTGCACCAGCTGATTGTAGTCGTAATATCTTTAAGTGTTGCCAACGTATTTTCAGGCGTACATGAATGACGTGCACGATAAAAGTACGATGGTTTGTGTTGTTTTAAAAACTGCGCGCCAAAGGCTTTCTGTAATATAATATGTGCAAGGAAGAACACTTTGTCGGGTGACTGTTGGAAAAATATAATTTAATCAAGAGTGTGACATTTGAGCTGTTAATCCATCAATGTTGTAATTAACTATAATTTACCATATGTAGTAGAACGCCGCTGTTCCACAACATTCCAAACACATCATGCGAGTTGAGACCACGATATTCTTTACTGTAAGTACTATACGATTAATTTATTCATCATTCCAAAAGTTTGGTATATTTACTAAGTACCTGTAGTAGTAACCATCTCTATAAGTTTTCATTCTGAATAATCGATTGATAGTTGTGAGAAGCAGTAGTTTTATCTGATAAAAAATGCTTAGTATCACCAGTGGTGGTATTGGATTAAATGTATTATTTATTTAATTTAAAACACCCAGTTTTTAAACATTAGGTCAAATCACATTTTTTTGTCTAGTGATAGCCGATACCTCCTCTAAGGGTGGTTGCCGATCTTCCCGGCGACTATGACGCCTTCTTTGGATCCTTGTCAAGAATCTTCGCTCATATCATCAATTCATTGAACACAAACACACAACCATTTATGCAAGACATTAGACAAAATACTTGACTACAATTGTGGCCACAGGTACTCAGACTTTGAGTCCGGACATGTCAAGTTTGAGTCCGGACGTGTCAAGTTTGAGTCCAGACATGTCAAGTTTGAGTCCAGACATGTCAACCGAGAAGTACATGCATGTGGCCACAGTTGTGGTCGAGTATATCTTTTATGTCTTGTATAAATATTCGTGTGTTCAATCTTTTGACGACCTCAATATGAGCGAAGATTCTTGACAAGGATCAAAAGAAGGCGTCATGGTCGCCGGAACGATCGGCAACCACCCTTAGAGGAGGTATTAGGAATCACTAGACGAAATCAATGTAATTTAACCTAATGTAATTATTTATATTAATATGTTTTGAGTGATTCGTAACTACACAAAAATGAAACCCAGTTTTTAGTAGCAAACCTCACAGAGGGATAATGTTGTTTAGATAGGTTGTTTTAGGGAATTTTTCCCATAGGGTCAGGGTCATTTTAGGTGTTTGCTATTACCACGACTTGCCCGACCGGTCTTGGTTCACCAAGCGACCAGAGCACGACCCGACCAAGACAACGAATGTTTACCAAACTTCAGTGTCAAAATGGATGTTGAATAAGTAGTTGCTGTGGTGCAGTTGTATCGTATGTACGTTGAGCGGGAAAAAACAATACTGGGTACATCTAGCTTAACTGTCACTTTCAGATCAACAAAAGGGTAGTTTTAAAACATTAAATGTAGAACTACGGCAATATGAAGAAAGGGTTTTTAATAACACAAGAATATCGGTTAAAAGCTTTTATGTCTTACAAAAGAAGTCACTTCACAAACTACACACAAAAAACATGTACTTACAGTTTGTATGACCTGGACTACGGGAGGTTGAGTGGTGTACTGGTCGGGTCGGAGACAAGTCGGGGTAGTGTGCTTCGCTCCATTGCAATGCGTTCTATTTTTGTCTGCAACTGTCAGTGAGTCGGACCCAACCAAACTCCAAGGACATTGATCGTCCGAACAGAGTCCGACCAGTCGGCCAGTGCATGTGCGATGTCTCATTTACGCCCATTATAAAACTGGCGGATATCCGACCGGTCGGAGAGGGTGTACACCCTGGAATGATTCTGTATATTTGTTTCTTAGAGGGGTCTATAATTCCTTATTTTCACAGTGTCTATTTGTATGTAATTTATTCAATGTAACCATAGCTTCTGAACACCTTAAGAGATTGACTTAGAGTTTAATAAATAAGTGGTGACAGGTACGACACATGTATACAAACAAGTCCAAATTTCTAGTGTGTACCAATTGAAAAAAGTTGACCTTAAAAATGTGATAAAACGAGTAATTTCACTGTTTTACTTACTTAAACTAATTCCAGTGCTTTGTTAGGTCGAGTCTATTTTTTACTGTAAGAAAATTGGAATGCATATACCTTTCACAATAACACTGGCTGAAAAAAAAAACTGGATGAAGTAAAATAAAGAAAGAGAATAGACAACCTAAGTTTTGCATGACGTTTTCGAAGGTTTATAATATGCGATCAGTAATATATAAATATTTTATTTTTTTTTATGATATTTTTATGTAATTACTTGTTATGTGTGTTAAGACAGCAAAGTTTTATGCGTTCTTGTTTATGTTATTATTATGAATATTCTTAAGATGTATTCTACGGTTTTAGGTTCTACTGGGCTTAAAAACAATTGAGGCAGGACAGTTGGAACTCAAGGTATATAACAGTCTATGCTAAACATTTAAATGTTTTCTCACTTTTTAAAGCCATCTCACACTTACTGAATTATTTACATAAAGTATAGAAAATATAAGAATGTGTCAGAAGGTTTATCCTGAAATATTTGTACCTATAATTATTTGAACGGGATACTTATATTATGGATTTAACATACTCATAGATTTGCCATTCTTATGGATCAGCAGATGCCAATTTCGGTGTTAATGTTTTTAGCAAATTCAGTTATCTTAGTTATTTAAGTTATACAATTATGAATAATAGCTCCTCCTTTAGTTTTATAACCAAACAGCAAATCAAAAATCACCAAATAAGCCATAAAATAAAGAGCTAAAATCTGCAATATGAACCACCATAAAAATGAGCTTCAAATTTTACAATGGGATGAAAAGTCTTGTTTATTCTAATATGCTAATAGTACAGTGGACGACCGTCAAGTGAAAAAAAAACACATTGTCGCATACAAGAATATCAAAACAGAAACGATATGGATAATAAAAATACCCCCGCTGCAGCAAACCTGCCGACTAAGCGAATTTCCATTTGCCTGGATTGATTTTCAATTAATCTATTAAATTAAATATAATATATTAAATATATTATTAAAATAATATATTAAATATATTATTAAAATAATATGTTAAATATATTATTAAAATAATATATTATAATTAAAATATTAATTTAGGCCTACACACTTACACTTTTTTTACACATTTAGTCGCGGTCTTCCACTAACACGATACATTTCAACACTGCAATAATTACCATTCCAACCTAAAAACAGACCCCTAAAATTAATAAACATACAAATACGTAATGTTATACACCAGTTGGTACATTTAAAACAGCTTATATAAACACTGTAGCAGTAATTACATTAGAAAATGTCTGGATCTTTGACGGCCTGTGGGGCAAAGCAGGGGTAATATTTGACTTTTTTGATATTTCTTTCCCCACCGTCCTTGGACCTTAAGCTGTAAAATGAATCCTCAACAGCCATGCTACCTTTTTTCTAGCTCGAGATATTTCGTGGGGACCGATACGCTTACGGAGTTAAATATATAGATTATTTGAATTTAATAAAACGTATTTAAAATAGGTTTTGACGTTATTTAGCTGAGGCAACCTGGATGACGTATTCCTGATAGAGCTCTAAATAAGGTGACATATTTGCCGAAATAAGCGTCATTCCCCCTTATATGTGCAAGAATCCCTAGATGAAATTACGTTAAATTAACGTATTAAAGCTACTCAAAAATTAAATTATCATTCAAATAATTTGTACAAAGTATTTGGCAATAAATACATTTGTTTGTTTGTCAGCACGAAGCATTGTCTAAAGAGCAGCAAGAAGAATTTTTGTTAGCATTGGCCCTTATAGACAAGGATGATGATGGAAAAATTACAGATGCTGAGCTGAAACATGTTTTAGATAATCTTCAAATAGAAATCAACGACGATGAAGTTAGAGAAATGATTAAGGAGGCTGACACTGACGGTAAGTTTACAGTGATTGTAGAAAGAAATGCAAGGACGTTACCTTTAAATACATAGTAAAACTCACAAAACTCTACACTCATAGCCTATTAAAAAAAATGTGTCCATTTTTAAAATCCTTTATTTTATTAATAATAGCGTTGAAGCGTTAGTGTGTATGTAATATGTCGTGTACAACGCTCAAAGAGGGTTTTACCTGACGAATGTGTCTAGTAATAATTTCTAATGATATAGAAGATTGCAGTGTGATATACAAGAAACCTCCCCAAGTATCCTCAGGCTATCTTGAATTTAAAAATGGAAGCTAACTGCAATAAAACCCCGATCTCTATCTTTATATTTAACTTAGTTAGAAGCTGAATGGCGTATGAATAAGATTACAAAAGTAAACTTAAAGAACTGAACCTTTTATTGTTACAAAGTAATTAACTATTGATGCACACACCCATGTTAAGAATGGCTAACTAAAAACGTCCTGGCAGCTAAAACTCTGAATATGATATCCCCAAAAATTAATCTACTTTCACTTGCGATATTACCAATTAAATATCTGAACCGCTTAAAATTCCCTTATTAATATACAACAATTCTCCCTACAACTCTGAAACCCCCTTTAAACTGAACTTCCCCTTACATCACCCGGCAAGGAGAACCTATGCCTAAGATAACCAGTATTCACCCACACATTTCTGGACATCCTAGCCCGACCGACTGCCATCTTTCTCCATCTCAGGTGGCCTATTTATTGAACTTGACAGCTACTGAGTGCTAAGCCCTCAGTGTTTACACAAACACCTCCAGCACGCTTCCTAGCTAGCAAAAGGCTATAATAGGTCATCAACCGAGCTGCCTAGTCTTCTCTACATTACAACAGCATTGAGTGATTTATGAAGGTTTACCTGTTGAAAGTTCTCTCTGATTTTTAAGGTTTTTAAGCTTTTCTATGCAATATTGAACCTAAAACGATTGAAAAAAAGGATTCAACTTAATCCCACGTATCGGTGATATTTAGTATTCAAGATTGAAAACTGCATTGCTGTCTCATCGTATTTGGCCGTTATCAATGTTTAACCCTACTAGTGCTGACCACTTCAGTTTGTGCCAATGAGCTGTGCGTTAGCGTGGTTGTGCGTATTCGTGCGGTGCAAGTGTGTGAAAATAATTTATGACACATATATTATTAACAAATAGTTTACTCCAAAGATTCAAAAAAGAGAGCTGGAGTGTTTGCACCGGACCCGGACAGTGTAATGAATGACGTTAACGACAACGTGGCGAACAAGGTAGGCGACATGACGTATACAGATCTAACGTTCCTCTTACACCATCCGATTTTACTAGCCCTTTTGTTAGTCTGTTATTTATTCATAACGTAAATATAAATAGACTTTATTTATTATTGTATTCTTCTTTTGAAACTTACGACTCTTCCCCAGCGTGCATTACATTTCCTTTTTACAAATTTCTATAATCTTAAAGTTTTCTTCAATATATTCCAAGACGTGGTTCTTATCTTATAGGTGTTTCACATCAACCGATGTAAAAGCAATTCTTCCATACGTATACACACCCTTCCCGTATGCAGTCACTGAAAATTTTTATGAAAAGTAGACATGTTCTCAATATTTAGTTGAGTAAAAGATGACTGTGCAGTGTTTTTTGTGTCCATGAGTGGAATACTTTCCTATAATTAAAGATAGTAGCAAATTAACCGAAACGGCGTTTGCAAAATCAAAGAGTGCTTTAGTATTTCACCGAGCAGCCAAAATCAAATTGAAATATATTCATAGTATTTTTGAACACAGGGAATGGGCACCTTAGCGTGCCTGAGTTAATGAAACGTCTCTATGGAGATGCTTGGAAAGAAATCCAAGACAATGTCGACGAGGTATTTCCATTTGCTGATAAAAACGGAGACAAAAAGATTACTCTGGAGGAATTTAAAAATTTTATGAAGACTCTATTCCCAAAATTAAGCGAGGAAACAGTCCAAAAAATGCTCGAACTGGCAGACAGTAGCAATGACGGGACGATAAGCCGAGAGGGTGAGAGCTTTCAATTATTTCCAGTTTATAAGATCTTATCTCTAGGAAAATTGTTAAGCTTCCAAATAGTTAGTTTTATGAAATAAGTAACCACTAAACCTATTTTTCGTATCCAAATTTTCATTATTAACATACATTTGAGGAGTGGACCAACAAGAACTCAACGAAGTGCCCCTTCTCTTAGAACAACAGGTGGCAGTATCTACAGGTTCGATGTCGACAATTATTTACACATATCAAATTCTCTAGATTATATGTAATATTGATATTTCCTACTTGAATGAAAACTCAGCCGCATGCATCAATTTTTGGTTTTGCAATATTTCCCTACAATAAGATCTTATTGAAGAATATATTGTGGGAGAAGACACCACGCTTCATTTTTGCTTGGATAGAGGAGATCGTGTCTCTCATGGATAGTTCTGACAATGTAAGTAAATGTTTCCCTGGCGGAATTTGACATTATTGATCGTGTTTCAGAATTCTGTCATGTCCTTCTACGCTATCGTCAACCACCTGAGGATGCTGATGCTGAAGACTTCCACCAATCGGGACATATGCTTAAAAGGTTTTTTGGGTGGGTAAGAGGCATTTTCTCTCCACTGGCAAAAATAGCTCAAAAGCTAAAAAACTGTTTTGTCGCAATTGAAAAGTGACATTGTTCAGGGAAAAACTATTGATAGACGTGTTGTACTACTCGTGATTTCCACTCTGATTTTCTTGGTTATGTTCATACCGTTTTGTTCAGGTAGGAAAATAAGAATAAAATATTGTAAAACCAATTTGAGTAAGTAATTTTGTAACAGCCTTTCTAATACTTTTTCTAATTTAAAGAATTGGTAAAGCAGCTCTTTTTTACAAGGAATCTTATGTAAAAATGGTAAGTGGTTGATTCCCGTGTAAGGAAAATGTATACACTAGTGTGTGTATGAACATCCTTCGCAGATAGGCCTCTGAAAAATCAAGAAACATCTATTGGTTGTTGCCTTGGATCTGCTATTTGATATAAAATTAAAATTATGAAAAATAGGTATCAAAAGAACAATTTTACCAAATTTGACAGTATATAAACTAGTTGTTCTGCCAGTGCCTCGGCACGGGGAGATGATGCAGAGAATATAAGGTGATTCTTCACCGCCTCGTTCAATGCAAACTGATGTAATCCTATTTGGGACACATACAACTCCATCCAAACTCTATGGTTATTGTGTCACTTAACTAAGTGTCATTCGCATAGCAGTCGCGTCCACAAAATTGAGCGGAGTCATCAGGGCATTAATTATATTGCCATTGACCCTCACAATCAAGCTTCAAAATTATTTTTAACTACGATTTCAAAAAGAGAAAGAAATGTGTAGAGCAATTTTTAGGGTGATTAAAATAGTTACAAAATACTTTCTGGTGAAGAGAAACAATAATTTGTCAAAAACACTGAGATGTCATTATATGGCTTACATTATAAGGAAAAAGTGCTGTTAATCATCTGTACGTCATCATCGTCAATTGAGAGATGAAATGAAAAAAAGTTTTCTTAATTGTGAAAAATAATGTTCTCATAATATACCAAATACATTTAAACGTGGCTTACAATAAATGCAATGCCATTTCGTCAAACCCAAAGATCATAAAATAAAAACAACAGAAAGCTATATCATAAATACAAAGCTGAGGATGTAAAGCATGTAGCCGACAAACCATCCTAAGTGGGGGCCTCGTTATATTTAATGAGGTTGGTTCTTCTTCGCCACCTTGCCTTGTTTTGAGTCTTGTGAGTAAATATTACGTGAATTTGTTAGCTAATGCTAAGTAACATCATGCACTACATACCCTTAATAGCCAACTCAATGACTCAATACACGTTGAATTTGTAAATAATTATCTATTCTAGTCAGAACTACTAATATAGTAGTCATCTGGTTTTAGGAAATGTAAGCACTCGAGTATAACACTTTTGACAAACTTTTAGTTGCAGGTCAAAATTAACAGAGTAGACTTCATTGTGCTTCCTCAGCTATTAATATTATTTGATTTTTTTGAATGTTGTGTTGTTGGATAGGAAATAAAATTATTGGGGTTAATAAATTGTACTTGGCCGTTATAAATTTAATAAATTTCATTAAATTGGCCGTTTTCTTTTAATTTAATATATACAAATTTAAATGGCCGTCATTTTAAAATAAAAAAATAAAACGACTATTTTTAAAGATATATTATGCTGCCCTAGGACCGCCTTCCGCCGAATATGCGGCGGTTGCATGTGGGCGCCGAGCGCCTTCCGCCGATTATGCGGCGGTTTGGACACTTTTTTTTCAAACTCTCATAACGCAATGAAAATTATCTCGAAGTGTAATAATTTTGATACCATTGAAAAGAGGAGATTCTGAACTTTCATTTTCATATATAAACGAGCCTCGTAGCAGTAATAGATGAATACAAATGCTATTAGAATTTGAACTAAATTTAGCGCGCGAAGCATTTTTGACTCGCGATCGGCAAAATCTCGTAAAACACGAGATTTTCCAAAAAATCCTAATGTCTGTATTTCGCCCAAACAGGAATCGGTTGGTACCATTGGAAAGAGGAAGAGTTATTCTTTATTTTCGTGATAAGATCTTTGTCACACGACTTCAGAAAGTCTGAAAAATATTTTTGGAAATCAGCTGTTTTTTCATTCGGCCATTTCGCCTAAACCGCCGCTTATTCGGCGGTTTCTAAATCCAGAATAAATATAGCTCAAATGTATTTTAGCGAAACATATAGTATATCATTTTGAAGCCAAGAACTTCTTCTTCCTCTATGTAGTGCTGAGGTACTGTCTGTGACGCATTCCAAGTTATCAAATAGCGTAGAAAAATACACATTTTGCATTTCTGCTTTGTTTGTCTGCTAACCTCATTGCGCTAGATCTTTGTTCGTAGGTGTTATTTTATTTTGTATTTTATCATTGCATATTAGTGTCAAGTTGTAAACAAGTGTATTGTCATGTAGTGTGTTAGTAAATAGTAATAATTATTCATATTACTATGGGTAAATGTCATTATTTATGTCCAAAATGTGTGTTTGGAAATGTTGGCCTAGGCCTAGGAATAAAATTACTTATCCATATTACTATGAGCAAATATTATTATTTATGTATCTTAGTGCATTAGATACAACACACTACAAGTGACAAGTGAATTTTCGTGTCGTGTGTTAGTAGTATATAGTAATATTTATCCATATTAGGCAATAATGGGTAAATATCATTATATATATGTTCGAAAGTGTGTTTGAAAAATTCAGTGTTTTTCAGATCAAAATGAAGAGAAGCCACTTAGGTGACAATTCCATAAACAAAATTTTGTGTGAAAGTGATAGTGATGTGGTGACTGAGAGTTATGATGTTGGGGAAGTTGTCCCATTCGAGAGTGACAGTGATGATGATGATGACTCTAACCCTATCCCGACCCTTGATGTCACCCCCCTCTGTGCTGCTCCCCCCTTGGCAGCATCTACTCCCTTACGTGAATTACCCCAATTTGATCCTAGCTGTGCAGGGCCTTCATCAAAGAGGGGAGACATTCCCCCTCCGTTTGTTCTTCATAAAAAAGAAAAACCTACTTTGCGGGAAAAGCCAAGGCTCTACAAAGCCTTACAAACAGTTGTGAGTGAAGAAAGCGATGTAGATGCTGACGATTTCCTAGAAGACTACAGTTCTGGAAGTGATGATTTTTACCTACCGGATGTGGATGAGTTAGATACCAGTGACCGCGAAGACATTCCGGCAGACTTTCTACCTAAGGCCCCGTTTATGCACCAAGTGCGGTAGCGGTAGCGACAGCGGGAGCGATTTCTAACACCATTGAGTTAAATGGGGCTGTTTATGCACCAAGAGCGATAGCGATAGCGGTTGACCTCCCGCTGCGATTTCTAATTCGCCCGCTGTGTAGTTAGGAATCGCAGCGGTTGCTTGGACTGAAGCCAGGGTTGCCAACTTGACCCACGCGCACGTGCACTTAGGACAAATAGTTGTGTTAATTATTTGGCAGAGTTTGAGTTGGCAAGACTGTGTCCCCCTTCCACTCTCCTTTAACCAACCGCTACCGCTATCGCTCTTCGTGCATAAACAGACTTATTTACAGCGGGAGCGATTTCTAACACCATTGAGTTAAATGGGGCTGTTTATGCACCAAGAGCGATAGCGATAGCGGTTGACCTCCCGCTGCGATTTCTAATTCGCCCGCTGTGTAGTTAGGAATCGCAGCGGTTGCTTGGGCTGAAGCCAGGGTTGCCAACTTGACCCACGCGCACGTGCACTTAGGACAAATAGTTGTGTTAATTATTTGGCAGAGTTTGAGTTGGCAAGACTGTGTCCCCCTTCCATTCTCCTTTAACCAACCGCTACCGCTATCGCTCTTCGTGCATAAACAGACTCATTTACAGCGGGAGCGGGCCCGCTATCGCACCGCTCCCGCACTTGGTGCATAAACGGGGCCTAAACGGAAGAAGCGGCTGGTGTTTGACTTGGACACATACCTCCCACCTCCACCTCCACCTGTACCGTCGCTGCCCCCTCCCAGAACATCTAGGCCTACCCTGCCCACTCCCAGACCAGCGGCGCTGCCCACTCCTGGACCTTCGATGCGACCTCCTGCCAGACCAGCGACGCTGCCTCCTCCCAGGCAAGCCAGACCAACTACTGCTCCGAGAAGGAGTGAGCCCCCTCCGCAGCGGCATCCAGAGTTAGAGCTGGATGAGATTGGATTGCCGCATAACCACCAAGAGAGCTACGGTCCATCGAAGATCCCCCCGCTGTACAGCCTGTTCCGCCTCGCCGTCAGCGGGATGGTCCCCCACGGCAGGAGTTGCCGAGTGGTCCACCATGGGTTGTGACCCAATATTATCAATAATTTAACATTGTTGATTAAATATTACTCAACTTATAAACTTACGGTTTATGTATTTTTATGTAGTATTAAATTGTGTACCCTCCAGAGCCAGCAAATGACGTAAGCACAAATTTTTTAGTTGAAAATCCTGGGCCTACTTGTGATGTTTCTGATAATCCCTTATCATACTTTTCACTCTTCTTCACTGCCGCCTTGTGGGACTTGATGGTCACTGAGACTAACAGGTATGCCCACCAACGGTTGGACGCTTTGGAGAGGCGTGGTCTGCTGGCCCCACAGTCACGCTTCCGCAAATGGGTTGATGTGACAGTGGAGGAGATGAAAAGGTTCATAGCTATCCTTTTGTCCATGGGCATCACCCGTCGCAAAAATCTTGCAGACTATTGGAGTACCAACCCAAACCTGTACATACCTTATTTTAGCAGAAACATGTCTTTCAAGCGCTTTGAACTAATAACAAGTATGTTTCATCTATCTTCTATCGTTTCTCCACCCGCGGGTCAACCAGGGTATGACCCTTGGGCGAAGATACGGGAGTTCATAGATCAACTGAATGATTCGTTCAAAGCGTATTTTGTTCCAGCCCAACAGGTATGTATTGATGAATCAATGGTCGGCATGAAAAACCGGACTACATTCATTCAATACATGCCTAATAAGCGGCATTCTCGTTTTGGAATCAAAAAATTTGAGCTCTGCGATTCTGCGACGGGGTATGTCATGCAAAGTGTATTGTACAGTGGTAAGTACTTTTTGTCCATGGGGTCAGATCCCTTCACCCATAAAGTAGTTGCATACCTGCTTGGCAAAGCGGCTTTACTGGACAAAGGCTACCACTTGTTCACTGATAATTTCTACACGAAAATTCGCTTGGCCCGCTGGTTGTCCGATCGCAACACCTTTTTGACAGGGACGGTCAACAAGCGGAGCAAGGAATTGTCGACAGCTGTTTTGGGTGCAAGTTTAGAGGTTGGTGAGGCACTGTATTACAGAATGAGGCTTGAACCTACGGGATCAGTCCTCTTTGTGAAATACAGGGAGCGTGCAACCAGGAAACCGGTTCACCTCATCACCACTGCTATACATGCGCAAAACACTGAATCTACCAGTGCGAGTGGCCGCAAATCAACAAAGCCGCTTGTTATCCAGGTGTATAACAAACACATGGGTGGGGTGGATCTGAAAGATAAGAGTGTTTACCATCTGTCTTGCACTCGTACTTCGATCAAGTATTGGCGGAAGATAGTTTACAATTTTACTGACATGGCCATGCTGAACGCGTACTTGTTGTACAAGTGTCAGCATAGCGACAAGCCTATGCCCAGATCTAAATTTGTTGGCAGTATAATTGATCAATTATCTTTCGCTAATGCGGCTCCCCCTCCCTTGCCAATTGCTGGTCCTACTGGTGACATCCCTGGCCCACACGACATTGGTAAATTGCCAAACAGGAACAATCGGGAGTGTGTCGTGTGTATGGAGAAACATGGCCTGAGGCGTCGCACATCTTTCTGGTGCCCTACGTGCAATGTAGGAGTCCACCCTCTCTGCAATGTATCCATGGACCACAATCCAGAGCTGTACAGACGCCGCCATGGTCGGAAGCCTACCCAGTAGAGGATTTGGGGGGGAAAGGGGTGAGTGCAAGTTTTGTATGTATAGTGATTTTATCCAATATGAGTTTAATTTTGTTTCGTTTCCATGTACTGTACCAATTATATAACTTTTTTTGTACTATATTGTATTATTTGATTTTTCCATGTTTCAAATTTACAGCGTCAAAATGATTATGTCGCTAATTTTTTGGGGGTTTTACCGTAAACTGGTAAAAAAATTAATTCATAAATAATAATCACATCTCTACGTAGGGAAATACATTGCCTACATTTTGTATATCTTTGATTGTCTGTAAAAATATTGGTGTAAAAATACTAGGGCTTTACTTAGGTAAATAAGTAAAAAGAAATTGAAATTTGAACTTCTTTACTTTTATCTCAAAATTTATCCAATCGCGTAATATTTATTTTATTTTATTAAAATTCTCTGTTATTTTGTGAACAAAAAGAGTATGCATATGATAGGGTTATCTATTATAGTTTAGACACCAAAACTGTTTAAAGTTACCTCTGCATATCGTTATCAAAATACGGCTAGGCAAATATTTTGGTTAGAAAAATCAATATCTGCTTCCCCTGCCACAAATGGTTATGGAATCTTTACTATATTATATTTCCTCTTTCATATGTATATTTTCTTGTTCAGAAATGTATTTCCTACAAATACATATACCACTTATCATATTATTGTAAATTACAAAACTTAGGCCTAGCTATGAATAACAAATGTTGGCTTTTGTTGAAACAGAAATTTTGTTGTTCTACTCATATAAATTCATTATAACAGTTATTTATTTGTACAATATGACATTATTTCCAATGCATATATTATTACCGTTAGTAATATAACAGTTTTTGTACATGAACTGTATACTTCTGATCTTTTATTTATCTTTCAAATTTACAGCGCAAGTTGGTCGATTTTCCCCGTTTTCAGTATTTTCCCCCAAAATTTGCGTAAAAAAAATTTGTCTAACAAATGAATCACATTTTTAGGGAAATAAACAACCTATACCCTCTATATCCTACAATGTCTGTAAAAAAATTTGTGGAAAAATAATAGGACTCTACTTTTGAAATTTATGTAAAAAATATGAATAAAATTTTGGTTTTTCACATTATTCAAAAAAGTTACCATCAGGGATTCCTTTTATTTTATTTTATTCTAAATCTCCTTCTTTTTCTGAACAAAACAAGTATGCATATGAAAGGGCTATCTCTTATAGTTTACACACTAAAACGGTTTGAAGTTACCTCTGCATATTTTTCTAAAAATACGGCTAGGCAATTATTTTGGTTGAAAAATCCATATCTGCGTCTCCCGCCAAAAATGGTTATGGAATCTTTACTATATTATATTTCTCTATTCATATGTATATTTTCTTGTTCAGAAATGTATTTCCTACAAATACATGTATCATTTATCATATTATAGTAAAGTACAAAAATTAGGCCTAGCTTTGAATAAAAGATTTTGGCTTTTGTGGAAAAAGAAATTTTGTTTTTCTACTCATATAAAGTCATAAACCCTGTTATTTATTTGTACAGTTTGACATTATTTCCAATGCATATATTATTAGCTTTAGTAAGATAACAGTTTTTGTACATGAACTGTATACTTCTGATTTTTTATTTATCTTCCAAATATACAGAGCAAGTTGGTCAATTTTCCCCGTTTTCCGTATTTTCCCCCAAAATTTGCGTAAAAAAAATTTGTCTAACAAATGAATCACATTTTTACGTAGGGAAATAAATAAACTACATTCTCTATATCTTACAATGTCTGTAAAAAAAGTTTTTGAAAAATGAAAGGACTCTACTTTTGAAATTTATGTAAAAAATTTGAATAAAATTTTGGTTTTTCAAATTTTCCAAAAAAGATACCAACAGGGATTCCTTTTATTTTATTTTATTCTAAATCTCCTTCTTTTTCTGAACAAAACGAGTATGCATATGAAAGGGTCATCTCTTATAGTTTAGGCACTGCAAATTATTAAAAAAACCTTTGCAAAATGGCCAAAATAGCCAGGGCGCCGAGCAAGTTTGCATAAATCAGCCAAGGGCGGTCCTAGGAATTGCATGCCAAATTTTAGAAATATGTCCTTGGTGATTTATTAGGTATAAATGTAAAACATAAAAAACTAAATGGCGGATGTATTGCCAAGGAGGAATCATTGAAATAGTACATTTCATCAATAGGGCCTAAAGTGACTCTTTGTGACCTGAGGTCAAGTTTTACGATCGAGGTGAAACCGAGGTCGGAAAATGAGCGAGAGTAAAAAGTCACTCTTTGCCCGTGTGGTGAACTATATTTTCGTCATATTGCATCGTTAGTTAACAGACTAAGCTAGAAATCGAAATAATTGTCATGTTAAGATAACCCCTCAAAACGAATTTTAGCTTGCTTTCAATTCTCTGCTGCTTATTAAGTGATTCAATCATTTCGTCTAATACGATTATGTTTTTTTCTACGCCCGTGGCATTTCACAAGAGAGTTACGAGAGCAAATGTTTAGCGGATGATGTGCCGGGGATTGAACCCGTCCCTCCCGCACCAAAATCCGAGGAGCTAACCACTAGGCTAGCAACACACCCAATATAGTAATTAAAATCCATTTTTAGCCCCTGAGCTGTGATATTAAAATAACTAACTACAATATAAATCACACATCATTTTCAGTAGTATTTTAGACCAGGACAAGAGACAAAAGGCAGGAGTACAAAGGTCAGCTGATAACACCAATACGCAATGAACGATGCAGGATTAAGCTCTAGTCGGCATCCAGTTTAGATCGTGGCAATGTCAACCGGTACCGTGTGTGCGACAGGCCTGTTCGTTGTGTCTTCGTTAGTATTTGTAAAATGTTATTCGAGTTCGTGTTATGTGTTTCAACTATGACGACGCTACTTCAGCTGAATGTTCAACGTCTGACGATGGCATTATAATGCCGAAACGGCCGTAACTCAAGTTACAACAGATTGAGCTGTAGACGAAGGTAAATACCTATTTTTAATTAATATCACAGCTCAGGGGCTAAAAATGGATTTTAATTCATCTGCTAGTCAAGCATTGTTAGCCATACAATACAAGAACATAAAGTTGAAATTACATAACACTGTACAGAACTTAAAATTCAACAAAGAATGTTTAAGACATGGGATAAAACCATCATACATCCAAATAAAGACTAGAAACAGGTCATTAGCTGCATCTAATGTGCTGTAACAGTTTGGTTAAGGAATGAAATAAAACATCTTTACCGTAAAAAGGATATTTTGAATAGATTGTTGCTAAGCAAATATTTGGAACTAGCAAATAGTGTTCACCAGATTACTTTAAATGAAATTTTATTTCAAGTTGAACAATCTGTCACCAGAATTATTAAGTGCAAAAATTCAACTCAAAATAGGAAATTTCAGAAGCTAGTAAATGATCAAAAGTCAAAAGAATCTATAGTTTTGTTCGATTTTGAATTTTACCCAAGGGTAATAAACAATACCAAAATCAAATTTGATGAAAATGAGAAATCAGTTTTAGAGAAGGGCTTAAAGTATAATCTCCCACGACAAGGCCAAAAAGCAAAATTTAATGAATTTATTAACGCTGAATGTGCTATTAAGACAATCCCAGACGAAGATGGGCGCATTTTAGCCCGTGCATTAGTTACTAATAACCTCAATAAAAAACTTCGTAATGACAGTTAAACATCCAATATAACTAACAACATTCACAGAAATGATGCATTAGCTTTGAAAAGCATTAAAGAAAAATTAACTTCTTACAATGCAATAATATGTAAAGCAGACAAAGGTAACACTAGTGTAATAATGTACAAAACAGAGTATATAAATAAGGTTATAGAGTTTATCACCAATAACGGTACTTTCCTGTTAAAGGGAACATTCATTATTATCGATGATTTTTTTCGATATATCGATATTTTTGTTTTCCGATCCATTACAAATTGACAACTGATCTTGTTTAGGCTAAAATAGTCTATTATATGGATTAATAAATGAAAACGTTCTAAGCTAACCTAACATAACCAACCGAACTTGCTGTACTATTTAAAAATTCCTTTTGATAACAGAAAAACAAGTTAAACACGGAATTTTTAAATGTTACACAGCAAGTTTGGTTAGTTATGTTAGGTTATTTTTTTTAGAACAGTTTCATTTCATTATTGTTTGTTGATACTGAACAAAATTTATCGTAGTTGTCTGCTGATATGTTTCAATTTGTTAATATCGATATATCGAGAGAAAAATCATCGATAATAATGAATGTTCCCTTTAACAGGAAAGTACCGTAGAATTGAAAAAAGACCCCACTAAAGTGTACCAAAGGAAAATTAGGAAACTTGTAAATAATAGTAAGGTACTTTTTAGCGACGAGGAAATAAAGCGCCTGATGGTTACCAACCCCACTGCACCAGTGTTGCGAGGATTGCCTAAAGTGCACAAGGAAGGCGTCCCAATAAGACCGTTGGTGGACCACACCTCTGCACCAACTTACTCACTCGCTAAAAAGCTCGAACAAATTTTAAGAAACCAGATCCAATTCCAGAATAATTTTAGTCTAAAAAACATCTATGATTTTATTGAAAAAACTAAAGATTTAAACATAAGGATGCATGATTTATTGGTTTCATTTGATATCGTTAATTTGTACACCAATGTACCGGTGGAGAAAACTTTGGAATTAGTCCAAGGTCACCTGACTTCCAGTTCAAATATGTTGCCAGAAGCAGTCGATGAATTTTTAGCCCTTCTGAAAGAAGTACTTCAACAGAATTATTTTAAGTTTGAAGGAAAATTCTACTCACAATCTGAGGGCCTAGCAATGGGCTCCCCTCTATCTTGCATACTCGCCGACATTTATTTGAATTATATCGAAAATAAATTTATACTATCAGATCGTAACAAACAGAAACAAAAAATACTGCAGTACCACCGATATGTAGATGACACTATTCTTTTGTTTAATGGTAACGTCCGACGACTGGAATTATTACACAAATATCTAAACAATATTGCCCCAAATTTGAAATTCACGATGGAAATTGAGGAGTCAAACAAAATGAATTTTCTAGACCTGACAATAGAAAAATTGGACAATAGATTGGATTTCAGCATTTATCGTAAGCCAACCTCGTCAAACCAAACCATCCATAACACGTCATACCATCCACCATCACAGAAATATGCCGCTTATAATATATGATGTATGTTATATAGATTGTTAAATGTTCCAATGTCAGACAACAATTTTAATAAAGAACTCAATTTGATAAAACACATAGCTCTATCTAATGGGTACAACAGCAATATGATTGACAGGTTATTAAGTAAGATGAAAAACAAAAAGTCTGGAGACGTCCAACCACAAAAGAAGAAGTATGTGTGTGTAGAGTACTCACATTCAATTCAGTACTCACTTACGAAAGAATTGAAAAAACATGGTATCGAATTGGCGTTCAAGACCAACAACAAGACAATTAATAAATTAAACGTTTCTGATCGTGTAATGACAAAAGTGAGGAGTCAGGTGTATACAAAGTTAAATGTGCTAGTTGCCCGTGCTTTTATATAGGAAAAACTGGACGGACATTCGGAACCAGGTACAAAGAACATCACCCATGTCCAAGAGCCGACAAACAAAAATCATCCTTTGCTCAACACCTGGTTGACAAAAACCATGACATGTATGATCTGAACACTGGCCTCGATATACTCCACACAAGCAAGAAAGGAAATAAATTGGACACATTAGAAGAATACGAAATTTACAGAGCCTATACAGAAAATAATTTTGATGACACAATATTAAATGAAAAACTACAATATAAATCACACATCATTTTCAATAGTATTTTAGACCAGGACAAGAGACAAAAGGCAGGAGTACAAAGGTCAGCTGATAACACCACTACGCAAAGAACGATCTAGTCGGCATCCAGTTCAGATCGTGGCAATGTCAACCGGTACCGTGTGTGCGACAGGCCTTACCTTAGGTTCGTTGTGTCTTCGTTAGTAATTGTAAAATGTTATTCGTGTTCGTGTTATGTGTTTCAACTATGACGAAGCTACTTCAGCTGAATGTTCAACGTCTGACGATGGCATTATAATGCCGAAACGGCCGGAACTCAAGTTACAACAGATTGAGCTGTAGACGAAGGTAAATACCTATTTTTAATCAATATAGTAAATTATACCAACGATATGTCGAGCGATCGACAACAATAGGCCTTACCTAACTTGCCTAATAAATACATAATAATAACCTTACCTGATAAATCAATCGATAAATAATTGCGATCAATACGATTGCCACAATCAAATGTACAACTTTTTACAACAGCTAATTTTTACTCCCTAGAGAGTAAAAATGCTACTTTAGACTCGGAATGCATGCATTTAAAACTGCTGTTTTTGCTGCAGTATAACAAATAAGTATTGATCGTAATTTTTTTTTTATTTTGACAAAAAAAAATCTTTTCTAAAATTGTTGTACTTTCTTAAGAGACTTGTATCACACAGTTCAATGTTGTATTAAGTGCAATGATTATAAAAAAGCTTCGGGATTTGTATTTTAAATATAACTAGTTGGTGCTTATCGGTGAAACAACAGTTAAAACTACTTGTGGCTTCTTTTTGATCCTGTAAATAAGAGTACATATTATTTTATTTTTAAATAAAACTGCGCAAAATATAACCCTTTATGTTTTTAATATTTTAAGAGGACTATGCAACATAACCTACACAAACAGAATATTTAACAGAATTTTACAGTATTTTACAGTAGTTTTTCAGCACAAACGTCCACTGATGTTTCATAAATAATATAATAATAATGGTCTATAAACACACAAATAAAATAAATCTTTGTTTGTAAAAAATTAATATATTTTTGTTTTGTGCTGTTCAGACGAAACAGTTTGTCTGAAATTATTTTCGCATGGCGTCACATTTTACAGGTCGGTGTCACATAATTGGTTCAATAACAGCTGGAATTCAACCCAGCTTTTTAACAAAATAATTCAACGAAAAGTTTTGTTTGGCCAACATTTGGTGTTTGAAATAGTAATACAGTACAAAACTAGTAAGTGAAAATTAATTTTAACATTTTTAACATTTAACTGCAGCATTTAGAAGGGCAAAGATATGCTTGAATGACCAAGTTTATACTTTCCGTAGGATTATGGCTGTTTTTAAATTAGAAACTACACAATTGTCATTGCATTATGTGGTTTCCATCCTCAACATGAGACATGCTATGTAATATTTGTATTGCTTTATGACAATAAATATTTTTTATTATTTTGATTTGCTTGGTTTCAGAGTTACTTTACATGTATTAAATATACTATGCTGCTACTTCAAACGAAGGCCGTATGAATAATAACATCGTCGAGTTCAACTGACCATTGTCGGCCTATTTTCAAGGAGCTTGGTATCCTGACCATTCACAGCCAATACGTGCTTAACATCCTAGCCCTCCTGAAAGAAAATGAACCATCCTTCATGACTAGAAGCGTGCAGCGTGATTATGGGACGCGAAGAGCATGCGATCTTGACCTGCCCCGCTGCCGACTCAGTCACACTCTTTTTAATACGCTGCCGATAGGAGTTCGTGCTCTTGACAAAAAGAGATTTAAGCTAACGCTACGCCAGAGTTTGCTCAGTAGACCGCTATACTCCTGGCAAGAAATGTTTGACGAGCCTCTGGTTTTTGTAAATAGCTTGTTGCTATTGTTGCTTAGTTGTATATTATATGTTTTGTGTTTTAAATGTTTTTTAATGTAAATACGACGCAATCAATCTAACTTTGTTGGTCAAGGATGAAGTAACCAAGTATCAAGTATGTAAGTAATTATACACTTCACAATTAACTATTACTCTATCTACTGTAGGCTACTTATAATCAGTGTTCGTCCATGCGAATTGGCCGCAAATCTCACTCCAACGCTTTTCACATTGTCACATTTGCTGTTTTATTGTAAAATTATCGGATTTAAAATGCATATCGTATAGGCCTATCATGGAATAAAAACATATTAGGTCACGCAGCATTTGTTTACAAGTTGCACAATCAACAAGTTGTTGACTTGTCACGTTTAAACTGCAAGAAAATGTGTCTTTATACGTGTAAACTAGCTGTTCTGAATTATACACAGTTTTATTTTAACTACTACGGGATACTGAAGATACTACTCAATTCCCGTATGTAGGACGGGCGAAAAACTCGTTTATATCTTAACTAGCAGAGTACCCGTCCTTGGTACGGGGTTGGAATATAAGTATAAAATGCTTATTGCAGTTATACTCAAGCTTTGCGATTGCAATGGGTGGAGGACACAGTTTGATAAAATTTGCTTTTTTAAATTTACAGTATTCTATAGTATTACACATCTACCATAGCCATAATGTTCTACCATTTTACCTAAAGAATAGAGAAAAATAAATTATCAATTCGCAAAATATCACAAATTATTCATGAAATAAAAAAACATATACATAACTGTAAACAATCCTACTTTGACAGTTCTCATTGCGAATCACAGTTTTTTGTTGCTGCTTAGTTCAAATTAGCTGTTTTCATAAATGCAAAAAAAATATAGTGCTGCACCCTGTTGGTAAATCTTATAACTTTTTAATGCTTTTCCATATCATAGAACCAACTTTTTTAGTTGAAACAGCTGACTAAATTCTTTAATTCCCTTTAAATATGAATACTCATAAGGTTAACATGGGGAATTACAGAGCCACTGGGGCGGAGCCCGAAAGGATTTTTGAGATAAGAATATGCCTGTATGTTAATCGGGAATGTAAGCTATCATCATGCCAAATTTCAGCCCAATCCGTCCAGTGGTTTATGCGTGATTGAACTTCAAACAAACAAACAAACAAACAAACAAACAAACACACAAACTTTCACATTTATAATATTAGTTAGATTAGATAATATTACAAATCTTCATACATTTAAAGGTGGAATAAAATATTTTCAGTTATTTTGACAATGTATCCGTCCCGTTTGACAATTAAAAATAAAAATAAAATAATAAAAAAAGTTTCAATTATACGATTTTCTTTCTCCTATATATTTTTATGAATGTATTTTTTTACACTTTTATTCTCTTATTTCTACAGTATATAATTTTTGTTTTGTTATCTAGTTAGTAATGTTTTACTGTATCATATTTAAGTAATGAAAAAAATACAATGTATTTATCTGTAAATAATTAATGGGAAATAAAATATTATTTAATAAAAAAAAAAAAAATTGCTGAGTCAGTAGTCGGCTAATTGGTTTAATAAACTCTTCGACGTTCTTTCTTTCTTTATGGACTTTCTACAAATGAATTGATGTATAATTTATGAGTAAATCTCACATTTAAAATATTTTTTTATATCTAAATGTGATATAATTTAGTTTAATGGCGAGTCGCTGGCTCAGTCGGTATTTAGTATTGAGAAGAATACTTTAAACACGTTTTTCTTGATAAAAAGTTATTTTTTTTACGTTTTATTTCGAATCTTAAAATAATACTTGGTTTTATCTTCCAGTATGTCACAGACTGTAAATGTAAAAAGTGAAAAATTAGGTATCTAAGTATTCATTAACTTGAATTCTGCTTTATTTTTTCCAAACTATTTGGCAAGTGGTGTTTGTAAGTTACAACCTATAGGTTCTAAAAAAAAGATGTTTTGAAATCGAGCACGATGGAAAATAGTGTTTCATCAAGAGTTTGGCATTTGAGCTGTCAAATCAATCATAATTCAATGTTGTAATTAACTATAATTTACCATATGTAGCAGAACGCCGCTGGTCCACATCATTCCAACTCATCATGCGAGTTGTGACCACGATATTCTTTACTGTAAGTACTATTCCATTAATTTATTTAATATTCCGATAGTTTGGTATTCATACTAAGTAAAAGTATTAGTATCCATCTCTTTACGTGATGATTCTGAATAGGTAATTTATTTATTCATTTCGACGGTAATCGCCATTTTACAAAATAGTACATGAGTGTTATTATTTCAATTGATCAAGTAAAATAAAGAAAGAGAATAGACAACTTCAGTTGCAAAACCAAGTTATAGTTTTGCATGACGTTTTCAAGAGTTCATTATATGCGATCAGCAATAAATAAATATATTATGTATTTACATGTTATGTATGTTAAGACCAGCAAATTTTTATGCTTTCTTGTTTATGATCATTATGAGTATTCTTAAAATGTTTTCTGTGGTTTTAGGTTCTACTGGGCTTAAAAACAATTGAGGCAGAACATTTGGATCTTAAGGTATATAACAGACTATGCTAAATGTTTTCTCACCTTTTTTTAACAGTTACGCACTTACTAAGTTATTTACATACCTACAGTATAGCAAAGATGATTGACTTCGTAACCCCACGACCTTTTGAGTGTGTCAGAAGTTTTCTCCTGAAATATTTTTACCTTTAATTATTTAAACGGGATACTAATATCATAGATTAAACTTACTCATAGATTTTCCATCCATATGGATCAGGAGATGCCAGTTTTTGAGTTAATTTTATGGCATTTCAGTTATACAAAAATAAATAATAGATTTTCCTTTAGTTTTATAACCAAACAGTAAATAAAAAAATCAATCATCAAATAATCCATAAAATAACAGAAGGATAATGTTGTAAAGACTAGCGCTAAAATCTACAATATCCTATATATAATACGAGTAAAGTTTGAGTAATTGTCAACTCGGTCTGGGAATCGGCCCTAACAAAAACGTTTATATTTACGGAATTACTAAGTTCTGTGTCAAAAATAAGTTCTAGACCAGTGGTATAGCCAAGAAAAATCTATTTTCGCCATAATATGAGTACAAACTTTTGAAAATTTAACATGGGCCTTATGAGAAAACATTCCGCCATTATTGTCATTTTGTTTGCATTGTGTGTATTGATTCATTGATTGGCTTCTGACGTACAGTTTTGTCAACTTTTGACAGAGAGAAAGAGAACGACTCGACTTTGCTCCAGTTCATTAAATCGTTTCATGTATAAGAATTTGTATTATATTATAAAACTTGAGGGAGTAATAAGTTTCTAATCCATGAAAACTATTCTTATATTAGTCTCAGCCTCAGCTTTATTACTGTTTATTTAATACTTTTGCCAATATAAACAAGCGAATTATATAGAACATGAGCCCTCATGTTTCTCTCACTGGAGTAATAAGAAGTTTAATTGTACTTCATATTGCAGTTTTACAGCTTAAAATGACTTTCTAAATCATGCACATATTTCTATATAAATGTTGTAAAATGTTTTATCTAGTTGCTGTAAGCTACTATTAATTTAACAAAATACTGTTTACGTATTCGTGAGAATACGTTTATTCATCTTATTTTTTGTATTTTTAATGGTTTTAATAATAATTGTCATCACTAAATTACTCTTTTCGTTGGTTGTCGTGTCATGTCGTTGTCAATAATGTCGTCTGATTCTGACTGATGTTACACTGAATCGGTCATAGGGAAAATAATTACAGTTGTTGTAACCTAACTTACTACTAGAACTAACTAAGAGTGTTGCAATTAGCTTTAAGGAGGTGGTTTAGCATAAATCTAAATGCTGCTGTTTTGTGGGAATGTGGGTGGTTTGAGTCAGCATGAATAACAGTAAGAGTGAGCACAGTGAGACTCCATGCTTCAAGACGGTAAGTCTTATATATTATAATATTCAGGAGTTATTAGGTTTTTTTTTTGCAAAAAAACATATAAATACAGACAGGCGGAAAACTAGGCAACACAGACCCATGTTCCTATGGTGAAATGTGTTTGTGTTGACCTAAGCAATAACGCTGTATACATTTGTCCAGAGAGTTACGGGGCTCCTTGTATAGATTAGTTGAATTTAATCAAACATATTTAAGATAGGTGTTGACGTTATTTAACTAAGACGACCTGGATGATGTATTCCTGACAGAGCTCTTAAGATTGTGACCTATTCGCCGGAACAAGCGTCATTCGCCCTTATATGTGCAAGAATCCCTAGATGAAATTACGTTAAGGCTACACAAAAATTAAATTATTTCATCATTCAACTAATATGTACAAAGTATTTGGCATAAAATACATTTGTTTGTTTGTCAGCCAGATGCGTTGTCTAAAGAGCAGCAAGAAGAATTTTCGACGGAATTGGCCTTTATAGACAAGGATGGTGATGGAAAAATTACAGATGCTGAGCTGAAACATCTTTTAAAGAATCTTGAAATAGAAGTCAACGACGATGAAGTTAGAGAAATGATTAAGTCGGCTGACACTGATGGTAAGTTTAGAGTGATCGTAGAAAGAAATGCAAGGACGTTACCTTTAAATACACAGTAAAACTCACAAAACTCTTACACTCATAGCCGATTAAATTGATACACCAAATTGTCCCACTTTTAACATCCTTTATTTTATTAATAATATCATTAAAGCGTTAGTGCGTATGTAATATGACGTGCACAATGCTCGATGAGAGTTTTACCTGACAAATACGTCTAGTAATAATTTCTAATGATATAGAAGATTGGAGTGTGATATACAAGAAACCTCCTCAAAATCTACGACTACAAGAAAGTTTAATTTTAAAGATGTGTTCTGGGTCTGTATATTATTGTTTATAGAATGTACCTATAAAAAACATTTACATGCAATACCATACACGAAAAGAGACATTAATTAAAAATATTTTGGTGACAAAGAGTAATTAAAAAATCACGATATGTCGGCGGTCACAATGCTACTTCAATGCTATGGGCCGCTCCGGTACCCCCACTCACGGTGGGGGGAGCGGCGTGGCGGCAGCGAACCGTTTTCGTTTACCAGGCGAGCGCAATCCAGTAAGGTTATAGGCCTATACATCGATGGTATTTAAAAAATAGTTTACTCCAAGGATGCAAAAAAGAGAGCTCGAGTGTTTTCACCGGACAGTGCAATGAATAAGAAATTACTTTTGTCATATTTTTGTTACAGTCTAAAGGAACTCTAAGAAAACAACGAGCTTTAGTTTTTAAATTGTATACACGTGAAAATATTGTTTTATTTATTTATAAGAAATTTTGTTTGACTATTATGCAGTTTGTTACAACTGTTCAAAGTAAAGAAATTTGAGTTTTAGTTTGAATGACGTCAACGACAACGTGGCGAACAATATAGGCGACATGACGTATACAGATCTAAATCTCCTCTCACACTATCCAATTTTACTAGTCCCATTGTTAATCTGCTATTTATTTATAACGTAAATATAAATAGACTTTATTTATTATTGTGTTCCTATGTTCTTTTAAAACTTACGACTATTTCCCAGCCTTCAATACATTTCTTTTTACATATTTCTACAATCTTAAAGGTTTCATTAATGTATTCCAACACGTGGCCATATCTTATAGGTGATTCACATCAACCGACGTAAAAGCAATTCTTCCAAACAGTCCCTGTAAATTTTTATGAAAAGTAGTCATTTTCTCAATATTTAGTTGACTAAAGCTAACTGTGCAGTGTTTTCTTGTGTCCATGAGTGGAATACTTCCCTATAAATTGAAGATAGCAGCAAATTGACCGAAACGGCGTTTGCAAATCAAAGAGTGCTTTAGTATTTTACCGAGCAACCAAAATCAAATTGAAATACATTCATAGTACTTTTGAACACAGGGAACGGGCACCTCAGCGTATCTGAATTAATGAACCGGTTCTATGGAAGTATTTGGAAAGAAATCCAAGAAGATGTGCACGAGGTATTTCCATTTGCCGATAAAGACAGAGACAACAAGATTACTTTGGATGAATTTAAAAAATTTATGAAGAACATAACACCAGGTATAAGCGATGAAAAAGTCAAAGAAATGCTCCAACAGGCAGACAGTAGCAATGACGGGACGATAAGCCGAGATGGTGAGAGCTTTCAATAAACTTCAGTTTATAAGATCTTATCTCTAAGAAAATTGTTAAGCGTCCAAATACATTTTCAGTAGTTAGTTTTATGAAATAAGTAGCCATTAAACCTATTTTTCGTATCCACATTTTCATTATGGACATAACTCGAGTAGTGGACCAACAAGAAATCATCACAGTACACCTTCTCTTAACACAACAGGTGGCAGCATCTATAGGTTCTATTTTGGCTATTATTTGCACATATCAAATTCTCTAGATTATATGTAACATTGATATCTCCTATTTGAATGAAAATTCAGCCGTATGCATCAATGCTTGGTTTTGCAATATTTCCCTAAAAATATATTGTTGCTAAGTATTCTTAAATACTGTGGGAGAAGACACCACGCTTCATTTTTGCTTGGATAGAGGAGAGCGTGTCTCGTATGGATAGTTCTGACAATGTAAGTAAATGTTTCCCAAGCGGCTTTTGACATCATTCATTGTGTTTCAGAATTCTGTCATATCCTCCTACGCTATTTTCAACCACCGCCTGCTGAGGACTTACACCAATCGGGACATTCGTTTAAAAAGTTTTTTAGGTGGGCAAGAGGCATTTTCTCTTCACTGGCGCAATAGCTCTAAAGCTAAAAAACTTTATTGTCCAACTTAAAAATTGTTCATGGAAAAAAAACTATTGATAATCGTGTTATACTACTTGTGATTTCCACTCTGATTTCCCTGGTTATGTTCATACATTTTTGTTCAGGTAGGAAAATAAGAATAAAATACGGTAAAACCAATAATTTGAGTTAGTAATTTTGTTACAGCCTTTCTAATACTTTTTCTAATTTAAAGACATGGTAAAGCAGCTCTTTTTTACAGAGAATAACATAATAATAAGTTATGATATAATAATAATAAGAGAATAACGTAACAAAGGGTAAGTGGTTGATTCCCCTGTTAGGAAATGTATACACTAGTGTGTGTCTAAAAACAAGAAGAGTCTATTGGTTGTTGCCTTGGGTTTGCTATTTGATATAAAATTAAAATGATGTAAAATATGTATCAAAAGAACAATTTTACAATTTGACAGTATATAAACTATACTATATAGTTCGGCCGCTTAGAAAACGACCTGCGCGCTAATGCTAAACCAATGCTGGAGGAGGTCGATTTCTAAGCGGCCGAACTATAGTTGTTCTGCCAGTGCCTCGGCACGGGGAGAGAATGCAGAGAAGATATGGTGATTTTTCACCACCTCGTCCAATGCAAACTGATGGATGATCCCATTTGGATATTTTTAATGAAATAAAAAAAATATTTGGCCGATAACTAAAAATAATCATAGTTTTGCTAGTGTCCAGCAACACTCATTATCGCAAAGTTGCAAAAAGATAGTATGTAATGAAATCGGATTTGATTAAGCAGGTGGCAAAAAGCTGTTCACCGGACTAAATGCATGTAAACTAGTACATAACGTTACTAGTCCGGAATATAGGTGTTTACCGGACGTGTATGTAGGCTAAATCGTGAACATCTCAGCGTTTTTGGATACATCATCGTCATCAAATTAGTTCACGGTACCATCAAAAACATCTCCCGTGATACCGAAGACATCTAATGTGATCGTGGACGTCATCATCGTCAATTGAAAGTTCAAATGAAAAACGTTTTCTTAATTGTGAAAAATAATGTTCTCATAATATACCAAATACATTTAAACGCGGCTTAGAATAAAATGCAATGCCATTTTGTCAAACCCATAGATGATAAAATAAAAACAACAGAAATCTATATCATAAATACAAAGCTGAAGGTATAAAGCATGTAGCCGACAAACCATCCTAAGTGGGGGCCTCGTTATATTTAATGAGGTTGGTTCTTCTTCGCCACCTTGCCTCGTTTTTGAGTCTTGTGAGTAATTGTAACGTTGTTAGTTTTGTAATGCTAAGTAACATCATGAACTCAAAATCCGTTATAATCAATCCAATGACACAATACTACAACACGTTGAATTTGTAAATTATCTTTTCCTACAGTCACCCGACAAAGTTGGCTTCCTTGTACTGTTTATAGTACAGAAAGCTGCTAATTGCTGCATATTTATACTTTGCCGTACGGTTTATACTTTGTCGTACGGTTTATACTTTGCCGCACATCAGGATTCCAACGAAACAACACAAAAAAGCGTGGTTCTATTATGCACGTAATCCGTGTACGCTTGGAAAAAGGTTGGCAACACTTAAAGATAATAATACTATGAGCAGCTGATTGACTATTATAACTACGATTTAACCTGTCATTTCGTGTTTATCGTTTCGGTATTTCTGAACTTTCTGGACTTTTCTTTTAAACGTTTTCAAAACATTCCTACGATCTTAATAAACAAGAAAATACCTTTAAATCCATTTTTTAGGCGCGGAAACCACTTAAAATTACAAAAACATACGGAACTATATTCTCAAAACGCGGAGCACATTTCTTGCCGAGGAAAAATAACGGAGTGATACGGACCGCGGGTACTACTTTCTCTAGGGCACCATTTGTGTTGCCAGCTGAACCTAAAAACGTGTTGTATAGTGTTTGAAAGACTAATTTTTTATATGCTTTATAGTGACTGTAGGAAAAATATAATGTGTAACACGAGTGAAAAAGGCCTTTGCTGCACTCGAGAACATTCCGCACTCACCTGCGGCTCGTGAGTAAACATTGCTCTCGTGTGCAGCAAAGTGCCACTTTCACCACTAGTTACACAAATAACTATTTCTATTTAGAACGCCACCTGATTTATAGTAGCCATCTGACTTTATGAAAAGTAAGCTCTTATATAACTCAATAATAACAAACTGTAAATTAAAGAACAATTAAGAGATTAAAGACTTCATTGTGATTCCTCAGCTATCAAAATTGTTTGATTATTCTAAACGTTGGGTTTTTGGATAGGAAATCTAATTTTTTTGGATAATAAATTGTACTTGGCATGTTTTCATTAAATTGACAATTTTTAGTAATTTTAATATATAAAAATTTAAATGTTCGTTATTTTGAAATAAAAAAAAACAGTTTTGAAGCAAAATTTGTTTATGCTTTGTTAGAACTGTATACCAAATTTTAGAAATATATCTTAGATGATTTATGAGGTATAAATGTAAAACATAAAAAACAAAATGGCGGGTGTATTGATGACGAGGAATTTTTGAAATAGTATATTAAATATACTATTTCAAAAATTCCATAATTTTCATCATTAGGGCCTAAAGTAACTCTTTGTGACCCGAGGTCAAGTTTTACGATCAAGGTGAAGCCGAGGTCGGAAAATGAGCGAAGGTTAAAGAACACTTTTTGTCTAAGAAATGAACAATATTTTTCGTCATATTTCATCATTAATTAATAAACTAATCTAGAAAACGAAATAATTGTCATGTAAAGATAACCTCTCAAAACGACTTCCAGCTTGTTTTAAATTCTGCTAATGCAAATAAGCAGCTGTCAGCTTAGTTATTTAACCATTTCGTCTATTACGATTGTGTTATTTATAGTACTTTATACCACCAATATGTCGAGCGATCTACAACAATCGGCTGACACCTTACCTAATAAATCAATGGATAAATGATTTCGATCGATACGATTGCCAAAATCGAAATTTAGAACTGTTTACATCAGCTGATTTTTACTCCTTAGACAAAAAATGATTCTTACTCCCTAGAGAGTAAAAATGCTACTTTAGACCCGCAACGCATGAATTAAAAACGGCTGTTTTTGCTGCAGTATGACAAATAAGTATTAATCGTAATTTTCTTTTATTAATAACAAATAAACCTATACTTAAATTTTTGAACTTACTTGTAGGACACCCTGTAACATGCAGTCGAATGTTGTATTAGGTGCAATGATTTTAAACAGAACTATTTGGTGTTTATGGAGGAAACGATAGTTATCTTACTTGTAGGCTTCTTTTTTATCCTGTAAATATATAATACATATACTTTATTTTTAAATAAAAAATCCAGCAAACAATATAATTATTTATGTTTTTAATATTTAACAGCACTATGCAACACAACATACACACCTACAATATTTAACACAATTTTACAGTAGTTTTTCAGCAAAAACGTCCACTAATGTTTCATAAATAATACATGCTTATCAAAAATATAAACTCAAGTTATTAAAACGGTAGCAAAATGCCAAAGGTGTATAGCACACAAAGAAAATAAATTATTGATAGTTAAAAAGTAATAAAACAACACAGTTTGTTTGACAGTATTTTTGCCTAGTGTCACATTTTACAGGTCCTCTGTCACATAATTGGTTCAATAACAGCTGGAATTCAACCCAGCTTTTTAACAACATACTTCAACGAAATATTTTCTTTGGCCAAAATTTGGTTTTTGAAATAGTAATAATGTACATAACTATTAAGTAAAAATTAGTTTAAATATTTTTAAGATTTAATTGCAGCATTTAAAAGGGCAAAGATATCCTTGAATTACCGTGCTTAAAATTTCTGTAGATATGGCAGGTAAACAATTGTATACTACATTACACAATTCTCATTGCATTATGAGATTTCTGTTCTCAACATAAGAAATGCCTTATAATATTTGTATTGCTCTTTGACAATATAGATTTGTTATTATTATTTGGATTTTCTTAGCTTAGCAGTAATTTATTATTGTACCTGTTCTAATTTCAGAATTTATTTATATGCATTAAATATGAATTAGTCTACTTGAAATTCTTTAGCTAGTGATTGAATCCAGAATCATAATTAAAAATCAAAGTATGTTTTATACTAACATGCAATGCATAACCTTTACACAACAATTATGGTATAAATTCTATCTAATGTTGATCGATGTCCATATTATTAATTTATGTATCCATTGTATTTATATAGATGTTTGCTAGTTCCTACAGGATAATGGATTGAGTGTAGTAATAAATAAATAATGTTAATAACACTGCTTTTCCAACTAATATTTAACCGCAGTACTATAAACTAGTTTGGCCAATCCTATTTCTTCAATTGAAGGAAAGGCAACATTTGAGGCAAATATATGTAAACTAGGGATACATAATTATTAATAATACAAATATTATGCATTATCTAGCTTTTGACAGAATTACAGCTATGCTAATCTCTTAACCATTGATTGTTTCATAGATTATTTTAAATATGGTTGGTTTTTTTTAGTTTAAGTAGAATAATGACAAAAGTTGTTTTGAAGAGCAGACTTGTATCTGGAAAACGCTGGCTAAATATTATTTTATTTATTGGCGTTACTAAAACGATTTGTTCGAAATCGCTTTGACCACAAACTCTATATCTGATTTCAAGTTTTTGTTAGTGCAAACCTTGGGACTTTACAAATTTATACATAATTTGCACGATAAATATTCTAATTCTTAATGAGATTTAACGGATAAATACAGTTCAATAATAATATAAGTTGTAACTATTTAATATTCAAATTATAACGCAAATGTGACATGGTAAAAGATATCGTGAGAAGCTTTTAATTTCTAAGTCTTCATAAACCAAATCAACTTTAAATGGTTAATACTATCTTTAATTTAATGTGTGCAAGTATTTTAAAAACTTATTTAAATATCTAATCTAGAATTTTGGTGAATAGTTTTCTTTGAAATTTTTACTTGGCGAGTAGGCTATCGAATGAAATTTTCATGGAGTAAGAGTGTTCAGTGTTTATATGTACAGTACGTTTCTAAATAGTAGAACTAAATAAAATATTCAGTAATATAATAACAATAATAATAGTATATAATAAAATATTAAATATCTCAATAGTATACTTTTAATATACAACACAGCTAAGGTTAAGAATTAATTTTAATGCATTTGAAAGTTGTTGGTATAGAAATTTTCTTGGGACTTGATAATTTCTAATTTTGTATAATATTTATTAACCTTATATAATATTTATTAACCTTATAAGAGTATTTGGGGCCATTTAAATATTTCATAGAGTTTGTGTAAAACATGATTAATTCTAGATTAGATAATATAAATAGGCATTTTCAATGAACTAATTGTTTTAAATTTGAGAACTGATTCTTTACATGGCGAGGTGAGGGATTAAGTGAGCACCAAATTGCTTTCCAGCAGAAAATACGTCGCTTGTGATGTTATATTCCTTGAGTTTATAACAACACAAGGAACAATACTTGACAAACTTACTTATTGTATATGTTTCCGCATAGCTACAAAACATAGGCATAATTATGTAGTGTTATACTCGTATGTGTAGAATGAGATAGTAAAATTTATGTACTTTCACTATCGACTATCTTGTGATTAAAAAAGGCCTTGATACGTTTAAGATATAATACAGATTATAATATTAATGTACGACGGTGGTTTGCTTAGAACATATCGAAGCAATCTAAAATATTGCTACGAGATTGAATATAATTAAGCGGATTGTAATTGACTTGCCTAACCCAATCGTCACGGATGTACATAGAGGTTTCATGTTATGTTGTCAGTATAGGCAGGTTAATATTGACTGCTGAATTGTCATTTGTATTATGATTATTATAATAATCGCGAATCTGCGTCAAAGCTTTAGTAAATTAAATTTAGTAAATGTCTTCATAAAGATTTAAACAAAAGGATAAAAGACATTGTCACGGTTAAAAGGCCACCCCAATTATTCGTCATGGAACTGATCACTCCATGTTAAATATCTACACTGTTTGACGCGTCACAGTGGACCGAATATAGTATCCAGCGGAGTTTAATTGTGTTGGACACCCTAAAACCATAATCAACGCTAGTACGGTACTGAAACGGAGCGAGCTTTCGAACAAGTCAGGACAACCAATCAGAGCGGTGGTTCGAGACAACTGTCAGCTGACTCGGAACCTTGGAGTGGAGATTGAAAGTGAAGACGCTGAATCATCCTCATTTGGCCGCCATCAGACTTATCGTTGAGACAAGAAATCTCTGCAACTTCTGGACGCCGGTCTACAATTTTGCCCTCAGATTCTTAAGGATTTATATACTGAGGTAAGACAGTCGGGATTCCAGAAAAAGTCTTAAATTGCTTCAGGGTTCCAAATTCTATTAATTTGTTTGTAATTAAAATCATTTCCAGTTGTTCAAACAAGTTACAGATTGCCGTAGTCATCATGAACTTGGTTTTTCTCAAGCCAAATTAACACGAAATTATAATTCCAGGGTTGACCTTATGTAGGTAATTTAGACAACTGTGGGTAAGACACAAACAATGTTGATAATTTTATAGTTTTAAGTACATTTTCCCTGTTTTATGATAGAAATTGTCTTGTAATTTTCATGTTGGTGCAAAGCAATAAGTTTGCAACAGGAGTCAGTCACATGGTCTCAAATTTTGCAAAATCGTTTAAACCATTTGTTTACAATCAGTTTTGATTTCTCAAAGTTAGGTTAGGTTGTCCAAAAGGAAGAAATGATATATTTAGTAGTTTTTAGAAATTTTTGTCATTCTTGGCCTAGGCCTACCTTGTACTTGTTCACCATGCTTTTGTTCATATGTAGTTCAGTGTTTTAAATATTTCTTGTTTAGCTTAGAAAATGTAATCAACCTACGCTCACTAAATTAAATATAAAGAATGTATTTTGTAAATTATTTATTTTGTAAATGTCAGAAACCAAATTGTTGCTCAGTTGTTCTAAGATAGGCCTAACTTGAGGCAAGAACAGTTTAAGACCTAGTTTCACTTACTGTTAATGACCTTTTGTCATAACAACTACAAAATGGATTAAAATTACAGCTAATCAAGGCCTAGCCTTCATGGAACACATGACTTAAGTTATAGGACTACTGTTAATATTTAACCAGAACAGAAATTATTCACGAGGAATTACAGGGTGTACGTTCCGGCCTGCAAGAGTTCAGACCTACGTCTTATGAGAGATCCTACCTACGGCTTGTGAGAGATCCGACCTACTGCTGGAGAGACGTTACCAGAATTGGCCCACTTACAACCTTGGCCTATCCAACATCGTACGGGGCTGTGGACCTGGACCACGTCCACCCCTACCACCTGTCATCGCAGCGGACCTCCACTGTCTGATAAGTCCTAGGCTAGCCTTTACCGTAACTTTCATCTGACTACAGTTCAACTATCAGCCTACTAAATCATTTTAATTTGGCCAAATACAAAGACTAAATCAATTTCTCTGGACATTTAACTTAACTTACTCAACTTCTGGTGCATCAAGATTCAAATTTCATTCAAATTTCAATCCAGTTATCTTCAGACTGTATTTTGTGCAACTCCAAGTGCCGAGGGAACTAGACGCAACTAAACCATCGTCTCAACATATTCTGTAGGCTAGGCCTAACTTTTAGAGATATATAGATTACGGTAATCGTTCGGATTGTAGCCGAAAGGGTAATAGTGTCTTTGATATTTGTCGCTGGTGTTGCCTAGTTTTAAGATTGTCTATTTTATTATTTTTGTGTATCTAGTATTGTGTCACATTATGCTCTGCCGGATTGATTAGAGACCTGATATATTTTGTCTCTGTTGTCCCCTGTTTAATTGTAAGATTGTCTATTATTATTGTGTATTTTGTGTCATATTATTGCTTTGTCGGATTGATTATTGACTACGGTCGAACATATATTTTGTCTAATGTTGTCTTTTGAGTAAAAATTAATTGTTGCTTTTCTGTAAATATACTTTGCTACCGTCTGCGCAGTCGGAAATTCCAAAAGCTTTTGGTCACAAAAAAAAATAATGTAAATAAATAAATAGCCTATTTGAGTTATATTTTAGGTTCAAGTGTCTTGGTAGTAACGAATACTGAACGAAGAACGTTGTATGTAGCATTTTGATTGATTATTATTTCGTACCGGACATTTGAGTCAGGCTTGTCTGTGCAAAATATTTACTTGTAATAAACCTTCGCTTATTTTGTCATATCTTGTGTCATTTTTGAAAACCAGTGTATTTGTCATAGTGTATTATAGTGGGCGTAGGTGGGTCAACCCCTGAATTATCCAGTTTTATTCACAATTTTCTCAAAATTGAAACTCACCCCAACGCTAAGTCAACATAGATTTTAGGGACCTGTCGAACCTCATGGTATATAGGAGCATAGGTTAAGACACTCAATACTACAGAGATCTGCAAAATCTGTTACCATCCTGGGGCTGGAACGTTCCCAGTTTATCGACCAGCATCATACCCCGAAACTGGGTGGCGCCCTGCAGCATCACTGAAGTACTTGGTTATTACCCTGGTTCATAGGCTACCTATACACAGTTCCGCCCACGACCCGTCACTGACTGAGACCTAGCCGTGGAGTGTGTCATTTGGCGCCCAACAACGTGGGGCATTGTTTAATTCATACTATTCTATAAATATATATAGAGGCCTATAAAAAAAAAAAAAAAAAAAAAAAAAAAAAAAAAAAATGAGTTACCGATTGCGCAAAGATGAGGTGCAGCATGAACTCCGAGTCCGTGGACTCCCTGTTGAGGGTGATGTTTATGAATTGCGCAAGCGATTGCAAACAGCACTTACGAATAAAACCGCTGTTGACACTGAGGCGGTAGGCAAACTTAATATTAATTCTGAGTTGGAAATTTGTGAGGAGAAATTTTCGGATTTAAGTGAATTGGTGGATGCCTTTGACGCGGGCGTGAAGAATAATGAATACTGGCGGATAGAGGCTAGACTTCAGCACTTGTTGGGCAGACTTCAACTGGTCAGGGATAGAGAAGGCAAAGAGGAGACTATTGCAGAGCGACTGAGTAATTTAGAGGGAAAAATTAAAACGGCTATGGAGCAATTGGAACAAAAACTAACCCGCACACCTGAGGTCAATAAAACCGAACCACCAGTCTTTCCATTAGCAACAGGAAGTGAAAATAAAATTACTCTACAGGTACCAACCCCGAAGGAAATATCCCACAGTAAAGCCACTGATTCTGAATCACAAAGTCAAAGTCAAAATAGATTAGAATTTTCCCCTAAGCCTACAGAGTCACAACGTAGGAGCGTTCCCGTCTACAAGTGGAATATCACATTTGATGGTGGGCCTAAAGTTAGTGTAGGTTCTTTTCTGGAGCGTATTGAGGAATTAAGAATAGCCCGAGGAATATCGGAAAAAGAATTGCTGGACTCTGCAGTGGACCTTTTTGCTGGATCAGCGCTGATATGGCATCGTTCAAATAGACAACGCATAGGATCATGGGAGCAACTGAAGACAGAACTTAAGGCCGTATTCCAAAACCCAGATTATGATCATCTGCTGTTGAAAGAAATTTTGAACCGAACGCAAGGAGAACATGAAAACATTGATTTGTACCTAGCCACGATGAATGTACTGTATAGTCGCCTCACTGAGAAGATACCAGAAGAAAAACAACTGACACAAATATTAAAAAATCTTAACAACTACCTGCAAGATAAGTTATGTATGTTGAATATCACCAGTTTGGAGGAATTACGGAACTTAGCTCGCCGTGCTGAACTTGGAAGGATCCGCTCGACTACTCAACACCCGCCACCAAAACCTAACATCGTTATGGAACCTGACCTAGCCTATTGTGGACCCAGACGACAACACGGGTCACAGTATGTCTCAGCGATTCAATCAACTCCCAGATTACCGAACCTAACCTGTTGGAACTGTGGGGAAGGAGGCCATATGTCGAGATATTGCCAGAAACCGAGGAAAACATTTTGTTATGGGTGTGGCGCACCTAATGTAAAGCGAGCTGAATGTCAAAAATGCACTCCAAAAAACTTGTAAGGTTGGGAGTTGACAACAACCTTATCGTTAACTCCCAGAGAGATAAAACCAGTACTGAATTAGGCCTAGATAAAATAAATTATTTATTTGAACCAGTAGAAAATGATCCGAGACCTTATCTAAAAATCAAACTTTTTGGAAAACCAATGCGAGCCTTGTTAGACTCCGGAGCCTCTCAATCTGTATTGGGCCAGGAAGGATTGTGGGTAGTTCAGAAATTTCCAAATTTATTGAACCCGATCCCTGATAAGTGGATTGAAACAGCTGATTCACAAAAACATGAAATTAGAGGTACAATGAAGGTGCAGATTACTCTAGCAGGACGATCCAGAGAAACCAGTGTTTTGGTAGTTCCTTCATTAAAGCATTCTTTGATTCTAGGGATAAATTTTTGGTCCGAAATGCAAATTATTACAGATTTTCACCAGAGAACCTGGGACTTTTCACCTGCCACCCTTAAGCTATCTTCTATGAACGTTCCACCCCATGGACTGCAGACCGAAGAACATCTCACTACACCGCAACGCTTAGAATTAAATAGATTCATGAATGAATTTCTTAAAGGGACCGATCAGCCTATCCTAGGGAGGACTAACTGTGTTGAGCATGTTATTGATACTGCGGACGCAACCCCGGTTAAGCAACGTTACTATCCGATGTCACCGGCAAAGTTACGGGAAGTCAACGAAGAACTAGATAGGATGTTAGAACTGGGAGTGGTAGAGAAGAGTAAGAGTCCATGGTCATCTCCTATTGTTTTAGTGGACAAACCTGATGGGTCAAAAAGGTTTTGTGTTAATTTTAAAGCTCTTAATTCAGTTACCAAACGGGACGCTTATCCCCTCCCGTATGTTACCACTATTCTGGACCGCCTTCGTGATGCGAAATTTCTTTCCTCATTAGATATTAAGTCAGCATACTGGCAAATACCGCTTAGTGCAGAGAGTAGAGAGAAGACTGCGTTTACAGTGCCTGGTAGAGGATTATATCAATTTATAACCATGCCCTTCGGACTCCATAATGCCCCGGCCACCTGGCAAAGATTTATTGACAATGTGCTTGGTGCTGATTTGGAACCATCGGTATTTGTATACTTGGATGATGTAGTAATTGTAACTCCCACTTTTGAGAAACACCTGGAGGTGCTGAAGGAAGTAATCACCCGATTACGTGGAGCAAAACTGACCTTGAACACCGAGAAATGCAAAATTTGTCGTCCTGAACTCAGATATTTAGGCTATGTTGTCGATTACCGAGGGCTTAGGGTAGATGCAGAGAAGGTCGAAGCCATTCTACAAATTCCGTATCCAACATCACAGAAAGAAGTCCGACAATTTTGTGGCACCGCCAGCTGGTATCGGCGCTTTATCCCCAATTTTGCCTCCCGTATATATCCGCTAACCCAATTGCTAAAACGAGATCAGCGTTTTAGATGGACAGGTGAATCCCAACAGGCTTTCGAAGACATTAAAACTTGTCTGGTGTCTGCACCAATTCTTACTTGCCCAGATTTCGGCAGACCATTCACTGTCTCCTGTGATGCTTCGGCTAACGGCCTCGGTGCAGTCTTGAGTCAAGAGGGTGAGGGTGGCGAGACAGTGGTTGCTTATGCAAGTCGCACTCTAACAAAAGCGGAGCAGAAATACTCTGCCACGGAAAGGGAATGTTTGGCCGTGGTCTGGTCAATTGAACGCTTCCGACCATATGTGGAAGGGACTAAATTTCAAGTAATTACCGATCACTACAGTTTGCTCTGGTTATATAACCTTAAAGATCCCCAAGGCCGTCTTGCGAGGTGGGCTTTACGTCTACAACCATATGATTTCACTCTAGTTCACCGAAAAGGCAAGGACCATGTTGTGCCTGATTTGTTATCTCGAACGACAGCAGAAGAAACCATTCCACCTAGTACGAAGGAAAAGGAGCGGGTGAAAATTGGAGTGCTAACGGAAGTAGCCAATACGACTGACCAGTGGTATGAGAGAATGAAGAAAAATGTTCAACAGACCAAGAATTTGTATCCATTGTGGAAAGTAGAAGATGGACAGCTATGGAAGATGACTCGAGACCGACTACGCCTACCTGAAGACGAAGAAGAATGGAAGATAGTGGTTCCAAAAGATAAGAGAGAAGCGCTATTGGCCCAAATGCATGACGCCCCGACCGCTGGACATCTGGGATGTAATAAAACTTTCCACCGACTCCAAAATCAGTATTACTGGCCTAAAATGCGACAAGACGTAGGGAGATATGTGGGTAGATGTACCACTTGTCAACAAGTAAAATTTGATCAAAATAGGCCTAAAGGGTTTTGCGGCTTCCGTCGTGGAGTAGACAAACCCTGGAGCATGATTTCTGCCGATTTGATTGGACCATTACCTCGCTCTACCTCAGGATTTAAATATATATTAGTTGTAATAGATACGTTCACAAAATTTCCGATTCTTGTGCCTCTTCGTGCTGCTTCAGCAAAGTTAGTTGCAAAACATTTGGAGGAAGATGTATTTTTAATGTTTGGCATTCCAGATTACTGTCTCTGTGACAACGGGGCAGAATTTGTTGGAAAAGAATTTAAGCAAATGATGGAATCATATAAAATTCAAATACTTTACAATCCTAGCCGACACCCTCAGAGTAATCCAACCGAACGAGTGAACAGAACGATTGGAACTATGTTACGGGCCTTTGTAGGTGAAAACCACAGGTTGTGGGATCGAGAACTACCTAAGTTAGGATTTGCCCTGCGATCTGCACGACATGAGGTCACCGACTACTCCCCGGCCTACTTAAATTATGGAAGAGAATTGTACACTCCAGGACTAGAGAAAAACTTGGACCCAACCCCGAACGAAGTACCGGATGTGGAAGCAGAAAATGTGGATAGTTATGGAGCCAAATTGTCCAACTTGAAGAAAATTTATCGATATGTAGAGAGTCGTTTGAAGAAGGCCCACGAGAAGACCGCTCACAGATATGATTTGAGGAGACGGGAAGCAGAGTTCCATGTGGGAGATAAGGTGTGGAAGAAAAACTATCAACAATCAGACGCCCAAAAGTTTTACTCGGCTAAACTAGCACCTATCTATACCGGACCGTACTGGATAGCAAAGAAATTATCTAAGTTAGTATACACACTTAAGGACCAGAGAGGCAAAACCATCGGCAACTGGCATATAGGAGACCTAAAACCATGTATATAGAAAATTTGGGAAATTTTCTGGTGGGTAGAGGGGTGTTTGTCACGGTTAAAAGGCCACCCCAATTATTCGTCATGGAACTGATCACTCCATGTTAAATATCTACACTGTTTGACGCGTCACAGTGGACCGAATATAGTATCCAGCGGAGTTTAATTGTGTTGGACACCCTAAAACCATAATCAACGCTAGTACGGTACTGAAACGGAGCGAGCTTTCGAACAAGTCAGGACAACCAATCAGAGCGGTGGTTCGAGACAACTGTCAGCTGACTCGGAACCTTGGAGTGGAGATTGAAAGTGAAGACGCTGAATCATCCTCATTTGGCCGCCATCAGACTTATCGTTGAGACAAGAAATCTCTGCAACTTCTGGACGCCGGTCTACAATTTTGCCCTCAGATTCTTAAGGATTTATATACTGAGGTAAGACAGTCGGGATTCCAGAAAAAGTCTTAAATTGCTTCAGGGTTCCAAATTCTATTAATTTGTTTGTAATTAAAATCATTTCCAGTTGTTCAAACAAGTTACAGATTGCCGTAGTCATCATGAACTTGGTTTTTCTCAAGCCAAATTAACACGAAATTATAATTCCAGGGTTGACCTTATGTAGGTAATTTAGACAACTGTGGGTAAGACACAAACAATGTTGATAATTTTATAGTTTTAAGTACATTTTCCCTGTTTTATGATAGAAATTGTCTTGTAATTTTCATGTTGGTGCAAAGCAATAAGTTTGCAACAGGAGTCAGTCACATGGTCTCAAATTTTGCAAAATCGTTTAAACCATTTGTTTACAATCAGTTTTGATTTCTCAAAGTTAGGTTAGGTTGTCCAAAAGGAAGAAATGATATATTTAGTAGTTTTTAGAAATTTTTGTCATTCTTGGCCTAGGCCTACCTTGTACTTGTTCACCATGCTTTTGTTCATATGTAGTTCAGTGTTTTAAATATTTCTTGTTTAGCTTAGAAAATGTAATCAACCTACGCTCACTAAATTAAATATAAAGAATGTATTTTGTAAATTATTTATTTTGTAAATGTCAGAAACCAAATTGTTGCTCAGTTGTTCTAAGATAGGCCTAACTTGAGGCAAGAACAGTTTAAGACCTAGTTTCACTTACTGTTAATGACCTTTTGTCACAACAACTACAAAATGGATTAAAATTACAGCTAATCAAGGCCTAGCCTTCATGGAACACATGACTTAAGTTATAGGACTACTGTTAATATTTAACCAGAACAGAAATTATTCACGAGGAATTACAGGGTGTACGTTCCGGCCTGCAAGAGTTCAGACCTACGTCTTATGAGAGATCCTACCTACGGCTTGTGAGAGATCCGACCTACTGCTGGAGAGACGTTACCAGAATTGGCCCACTTACAACCTTGGCCTATCCAACATCGTACGGGGCTGTGGACCTGGACCACGTCCACCCCTACCACCTGTCATCGCAGCGGACCTCCACTGTCTGATAAGTCCTAGGCTAGCCTTTACCGTAACTTTCATCTGACTACAGTTCAACTATCAGCCTACTAAATCATTTTAATTCGGCCAAATACAAAGACTAAATCAATTTCTCTGGACATTTAACTTAACTTACTCAACTTCTGGTGCATCAAGATTCAAATTTCATTCAAATTTCAATCCAGTTATCTTCAGACTGTATTTTGTGCAACTCCAAGTGCCGAGGGAACTAGACGCAACTAAACCATCGTCTCAACATATTCTGTAGGCTAGGCCTAACTTTTAGAGATATATAGATTACGGTAATCGTTCGGATTGTAGCCGAAAGGGTAATAGTGTCTTTGATATTTGTCGCTGGTGTTGCCTAGTTTTAAGATTGTCTATTTTATTATTTTTGTGTATCTAGTATTGTGTCACATTATGCTCTGCCGGATTGATTAGAGACCTGATATATTTTGTCTCTGTTGTCCCCTGTTTAATTGTAAGATTGTCTATTATTATTGTGTATTTTGTGTCATATTATTGCTTTGTCGGATTGATTATTGACTACGGTCGAACATATATTTTGTCTAATGTTGTCCTTTTGAGTAAAAATTAATTGTTGCTTTTCTGTAAATATACTTTGCTACCGTCTGCGCAGTCGGAAATTCCAAAAGCTTTTGGTCACAAAAAAAAATAATGTAAATAAATAAATAGCCTATTTGAGTTATATTTTAGGTTCAAGTGTCTTGGTAGTAACGAATACTGAACGAAGAACGTTGTATGTAGCATTTTGATTGATTATTATTTCGTACCAGACATTTGAGTCAGGCTTGTCTGTGCAAAATATTTACTTGTAATAAACCTTCGCTTATTTTGTCATATCTTGTGTCATTTTTGAAAACCAGTGTATTTGTCATAGTGTATTATAGTGGGC